CACTCATTGCAAACTCTTAGCGGTAAACCCTATAAAATCAAAAGGAAAGTTAAACACATCCAACGTAAATGGCACAGTGTAAATATCTCTGATCCAAAATGAATATATAGCGAGATAGAAAGGAAAGGCACTGAAGTAAGACCAAAAGCTAGCAGAGCAAATATTAGTAAAAGAGCATAACACTGGCTTCCATGAACACATTCCTTATTTTGTACTGTAAATTTTTACTTTAGTGTAATAGTAGCTGGCTGCATGTCTCATTACTTTTGCCTGAGGGCTACAGAAAGCAATCTTTGTGTTTGTCTACACTGTATGATGAAAATTGCGTGCATGTGTGCAAAAATGTCAAACCAGGATTTTCACTGGCATTGTGCTCCACCCAACAGGTTTAGTGTAAGTTTACCTGAGCATCACAGAGGATTTAATACAACCACAACACTCTAGGATTTGTTTTAATTTTTTTTCTTTTGATTTTTCTTTAGCCCAATTTGGCACACATGAAAAACGATTTTCAATTTTGACAAGGTAAAAAGTCAGTCATCAGATGACTCACGCATTGATGATGAAGATGATCCATTATGGCAAAATGCATGCTTTTATAACAGGAGAGAGGTATGGGTGGATGAAGATGATGATGATGATGGTAGTGGTGGTGGTAATAGTGATGGTAATGACTTTGATGTTGGCCATATGAGCCAAAGTTCTTATGACAGTGAAATGGAGCAAGAATCAATTAATACGGGCACAGAGAACTTCCTGATTCAGAAGATAAATAAAACAGGAATGTGAGTACATATTTGACTAGTCAAAATGTTGTGAAATGTCCACAACACCAAATGAAATGATCCAGTTAGAACTAGGTCTAAAAATACAGTGAGGGTCTCAGCAGGGGTGAAAGGTATTTAGCAGAATGCCAGCACTGCCATTCAGTGTTGCAAATTGTAACAGATGAAATGTTACAAGGTGCAGTGGAATACACAAAGGCTGAAATGCGAGTAAAAGGTTCTGTACACACCAATAGCCATATTCAGAAATGTATGCATTCGTGTTTTATTCCCAATCCCCTCTCCTCCCTTCAACTCCTGTTCCCCTCCCTATTTACAAACCTTTGTTTCCACTTTATCTTTTTTCAGCACTATTCCCTCTTCCCTTCCCCCCACCATAGTTTCCCTTTTCTTCTGAACAATTTGTTGCTATTTCACACTATCGATTGCACATTTCGGTCCTTATATACTCATTCAGTTTCTCACACCAAGGAGACAATGCAATGTCAAATATATCATAATCAGTTATAAATTCCCTATTATGAATATATTGATGTATATCTAAAAACCATACCAATAAACTTAATTAAAGAGAAAAATGGATTTATTTTGACACCTCACTAGCTGAACTGAAAGCATTCGTAAGTTTGCTATACTTAGAAGAGATTTCTTATGGTAATTGCAGGAATTTAAAAGACTTATTAAAAAGTGTTGGGCCAAAATGTGGCATAAAAATTTATGCCCTTGTAGATGCAAAGACTTATTATGCTTTCCATTTAGACATTTATCCTGGAACTCAGCCACCAGGTCCTTATTCATATAGTAATAAACCAAATGATGCTGTGAACAGATTTGTTGCTCCCATCCTCCATACTAATCAGAATGTGACATTTGACAATTGTGTTACCAATTTTCAATCAATGTCACAGTTGCTAACAGAGCAGAAGATGATCAGTGCAGGAGTTATATGCAGGAACAAAGCAGAAATTCCAAAGAAAATATTCCAATATCAAAATAGAGAATTTTGTAGTACATCTTTGGATTTCAGAAAGATTTACACAGCCTTGTATATGGCAAAAAACTATAAACTAGTATAGTGATATCAAACTTTTACCATGATGTGTATTAATATTTGATATTTATGAATTATTTAATTACTGATTAAATATTTGATATTTTATTTTATTGATATCTTATTTCCCTCCTGAATGCATTTTGTACAACCTACTAAGAAATTCCTAACAAACAGGAAAACAAGAGAGGCAGCAAGAATGGCCCACCACATAGGAAAGGAAAGCTAAGTACATTGCTGTCATTTTATGTGAGATGTGTGCATGGAGAACAGGCAGTTGCCATGTATGAAGACTGTCTTGGGTGTCTTCACCCAAGCAAAAATTTCTGTTGAAGGAAAAATTTCTGTGGTAGACTTGTTTGAGTTTACATTGTAGCTCACATAGGCTTTTATTTATTTCTGAATATTATCTACTAGGTTTCATAAGCAATTACACAGCTGATGTGAAATTGTTGATGTTTACCCTGAATGCAAAATACATATAAGAATTTAATATTTTCTTTTATTTATATTTTATGTTCCTGTTAATTACACATTGAATAACATAATAAAAACCTCCTGACAAATAGCAAGACCAGTGAGACGTCAAGTATGTCTTACAAAAAGGTCAGGAAAGCAAAACATGTGTTGTCAGTGTAAGCAATAAATGTGTATGGAAAATGCTTCTGTCATGTGTAGAGCTGCCTTAGGTATGATAATTGAAGTAAAGGTTATTTTATAGAGTGCTACTGGTATTTTCACTGTACTTTACACAGGACTTTATTTCCGTTGTTCATTTTTAGATTTTGCATGCAAAAAAAGTTGATGTTGAAAATTTTGATACTTTTTTAATAAACACTCGATAAATATGAAAATGCAATAATTTTACTTTTGTGATTTTTCTTGTTAAGCATTCATTGTTTACTATAACTCAGAATTAAAATTGATAATTCATCAATAGACATTTTAAAGTTTAAACATGGATCTGATATATTCACGTTTATGGGCCTCTCTGACAAAATATGTGTTATGCTCTTAAATCTTATAGTTAATGTCTAGCATGTAGTGCAAGTTGTGGGAACATATAAGCTGCTAAGGGCTTGCCAGTCTTGTCCCCAGACATTGCACTGTGTGGGTCTCATGGCTTTCCTTCCTCTCTGATGCTTTCTTCAGCAACACTTCATGTTTCTGGCATATGTAACTTCCTGGAGTCTCTACTGCACTTTTGGCTTCATTCTCACCATTTCATGTACTGCCTCTCAGAGACACACTGGAATTCCAGGTCTGCTTCTGAAATCTGTATGAAAGCCCCCCTGTACCACAACTCTTACACTCTGCAAGCACATAAAGCCAGCTCTGCATGATCAATGTCAAGGCATTCTAGCTATGCTTAGATTATGGCTGCAGCGGTATCTGAGTGCCTGAATGGCTGATCTCTAGGAAACTGTTTCTTAATTGGACATAAATGAACTGAGCTCCCTGGGACTCCCTTCTTAAAGCAAAGTCTTTCAGTTTAGTACCTTTGAACTTGCAAAGAGAGGTCTTGTTGATTCCTGAGGTGCCCTCAAACTATCCTTCCTATTTTCTTCATTAAAGGTATTTCACTCCTTTTTAGTGTTAATCTTTTAGATAACCATACTCTCTTTAGCCCTAACTTTTTATGTGTGTGCTCTCTGACAAAACTGCAAATTCTGTGTATCCTTGGGCCCTGTCTTTTCTCTTCATTCTCAACACAGATCTTGCTAAAAGCTACCAGCAGTACCTAGGTCATAGTCTGAACTTTGGGGTGCCTTGCAATTTTCTCCCCCAGATAAATTAGTCAACCAGCCTGAGTCTCAGTCTCCTGCAAATTCTCAGACATGGGCAAAACGGAGACAACAGTTTTCGTTCCCAACTGCATCCTCTTGAACCTGGCCATTACTATCTTTATTTCTGTCAGCATTTTGAGTTCTAAAACTCTGACCAAAATCTCCCACCAAGCTTGTCCTATAACATTCTAGGCTTTCTCTCGCAGGCATTTCCAAACCTTTTTAAACTTCTCCCACAAATCCTTTTTGAAGGCCACTAAACCACATGGTCAGGTACAGTTACAGCAGTGACCCCTTTCTGACACCAAAATCTGTCTTAGTCACTGTTCTCATTGCTGAGATACAAAACCCAACACTGACAACTTGAAGGAAGAGAGGATTATCGTTGCTTACATTTTCATTCCATGGTCAGTTGTCTCCATGTCAAACATCAAGGCAAAAGGGCCTGAGTGTGGGACAGCTGCTCATTCCATGGCAGCCAAAATCTCAAGAAAGAGGAAAGGAGCCCGGGAAGGAGACGTATCCTTCCAGGTTACAACTCCAGTGGCCTGCCTCTTCCAAAGAGGCTTCACTTTCCAAGAGCAAACTGGCAATAGTGGCCCTGTGACCCAATCACCCTTCAAAAGCCCATTTCTGAACACATCAGTCTATAGGGGAACATTCTAGATTTAAACAAGAGACCACAATCCAAAAAAAATAAATCAGACAGAAGATTAAATATTACATAGCTTACCTTATGTCAGAAACCAAAAATATAAAAAATTTAAAGTGAAAAATAAAAGATAGATGCTTAGAAACAGGGAGGAAGACTTGTGGAGATGAGAAGGGTATCAGGAATGGGTGGAGATGGAAGGGTGGGGAAGGAAAAGGGAATTAAATATTATTAGGGTGCAATATGTATATGGACCAATTCTACAAGATAATTGTAATTATGTGTCCCAAACATATGCTAGTAAAAAGGAAACAAAAGAAGAAAATTCCCAGGTGGTTTCCCTAATAAATTTTAACGATTTTCAAAGTTTGTGATTTATCTTAAAAGGTTATGTAAATTTTGCATTTTTCTCTATATTGAAGTCATATTTTAAATACATAATGCTTTATATTATTTACTATCAAATAGTATAAAGCTTCTAGGAATATACATAATATATCCCTCATGGATATGCATGCCTTTGTCGAAGCATAATCTAAGCAAGAGGGACTAATTGTACATTATTATGCATTAAAGAAACTGGAAACAAATCAGTGTACAAGATTACTCTCAAAAGAGTATGAAGAATAATTGGATGGAAGTGAAAAGAGACAAGAGGTGAGACTGCTTATAAACAGCTTAGAATGATGAGTACAGTTCAAGAAAGAAGAAATATTGATGCTTACCTGATCCAGCATTTTTGCCATCTCCTCCAATAAGTGGAACTGTAATGGTTGCAGGGCTCCCATCTGCAGGCAAACTGGTATACACCATGGGTAGAGACTGCACCACGACTGGTATGGCCTTCAGTCCACCTATCTTATTCGGAAGACCAACCGAGGGGATAGTGTGTATCACATGTAAGATCTGTTGGCCACCAGTTCCCTGAGAGGTGGAAAGAATAGAATTTGGAGCAAGAACAGTAGAAATGCTAGCTGGAGTGCTCATGTCAGATGATGAAGTGGATACCACAGGGGCCTGGGGACAAGACTGTGGTTTGGGAGGATATATGGGAGCTTGAAGCATGCTAGCAGGCTGGAGAGGAGCTTTCGGCTTGTGCAAGGAGAGATCAACTGGTTCCACCTGGGGCAGGCTGAAATCATTATCTAGAAGTTCTTCTGGGGGCTCAATCTTGATGTCGTTAAACAGTGCTGGGTTCTCCATAGGGCTATCATCCAGGAGTGGTGGAGACACAATATTATTTCTGTCTGTTGGCTCAGAGGTCTCTCTGGTGTGAATAGTGCCAGTGACCTAAAATAAGTAAAAAAAAAAAAGAAAAAAAAAGACAAGCAAAAACAACAACTGTTACTACCCTAAAGCAATATGTAAAATATAAATCAATAAATCAGTTTTTTTTCCTCATGAAAACAATACACTGTATTGGAAGAATGAGATAATACACTAAAGAAAAAAGGGGAAGGGAAATAGTACGGGCACTGTTCCAGGCAATTGATAAAAAGCAATTCATTTATTTCTCACAATAGCCTTTAGTATTAATTAAAGTCAACATTTTCTGAGCATTCTCTGTAATCATTGTGCCGAGCATATTGACAGCACACATAAAGTACAGCAAAGAATTACACGCTGACATATTAACAATAGAATACTTTAAGTAGCTTTCAAGTCATACTGTAATATGTGATGTGACATACAAAGGAGGTTCTTTAGAAAAAGAGAATGAATCATTCCATCTAGACAGGCATGGTTTCAAGGAGGAAGTAGCATTTTAAATTAGTCTTAAAGAATTAATGAGATTTCTCCAGGCAGAGAAAAGGTAAGAAAGAAATTTCTACTTGCAGAGATATAACAATAGAAAATATGGGTAGAGAATAATGATGCAATATTTAGTTGAGTTACTTCAAAATCAAACCGTGAAAATTCTAAATTGTGAGAGATTTAAAAAATACAACTCCTTAGTACTGGGCATATATCCAAAGAAAAAGAAAGCAGTATGTCATAGCGATATCTCCACTCCCATGTTCCTTTCGGCAGCTATGCATAATAGACAAGAAATGGAAATAGCTAAGTGTCCATCAAGTGATGAATAAAAAATATTACGTGTATATATATATATATTCAGCCATGTAAAATAATAAAATTCTGTCATTTGTGTCAATATGGATGGAACCAGAAGCCATTATAGTAACAGAAACAACCAGGTATAGGAAAACAAGTACTACATGTCATCACTCATAAGTGGCATCTAAAAATATTGATCTTAGCTGGAGATGTAGCTCAGCAGTGCAGCACCTGCCTAGCAAGTACAAGGCCCTGAGTTTAATTCCTGTTGCCAAAAAAAAAAGACCAAATAAAAGAAGTGATCTCATAGAAGAGAGAAGGATTGTAGCTACCAAAGATTAGGGACAGTGGTAGGGCTAAGGAATGGGGAAGTTTGGTCAATGGGTACTAAGTTACAATTAAACAGGAACAGAAAGCTGTAGGATCCAACAATAATGCACTCCATGTTTCAAAAACTGGAAGAAAGATTTTGAAAGTTTTCACCATGCAGAAATGATAAACGAGGAAATGGGTATATTTAACTTGATTTGAATATTATTCAGTATATAAATGTACTGAAACATCATGTAGTACCCTACTAGGATGTACAATTTTTGTTTATATGTCAGTTTAAACAAAATTTTAAAATACCAGTAAATGACTACTGTATATGTAATTCATAAAATAATGTAGAGTCACAATCTAATTAAAAGGTTTCTAAGAATTCTGTGAATTCAACTGTCAAAGATATTTTAAACTTTGATGCCAATACTTTGGATCTTGAAGATGGCCTTCAAGATGGCAGTACTACTTTAGCCAATAAGCAGAACAGGCCTCCATTTTCTATCAGAATGATATTTGAGTTATGGTAGCTTTAAATTGTGAGATATTCAGAAATTCTTCCATCACATACAATAGAAACATCTTTTAGCTTCACATATTTGGAAGATGAGAGAAGGTGGGTTTTAAGGAAAGGCTGAGTGGTAAAAGATGATTATTTGAAGAGTGCAGTGAGAAGATCCAACTATTTTTATGTGATATAACTAATTCTTCAGTGAAGGCAGAGGGAAAGAGGAGTAAGCCTAAATTTAAAGGCACCAGCAAGGAAGTGATTTAGAGAAGATCTTGGTGAGATATTTATGAGATATTTAGAAAAAATATTGATATGGAATGGATGATACTAAAGAATTGTTAAATTAAATGTGTTATAATACTATGTGGTTATAATTACATTTTTAAAATTGAGGTGAGAGATAATAAGGTCTTGAACTCAGAGAGGGATGATATGGAGAGGGAGTATCTTCTTGCTCTGAGTTAATTACAAAACTCTCACAGCATAATGGAGATAAGTAAAGGCACCAAACCAGCATTCAGGCTTTATCTTCAGAATTTAGACAAAAATCCATCTACCTTGTTTGTTCCTTCAAACACAGAGATACTGTTTTTCTTGATTTGCCAGTCCCCATCCTAGCTCAGGTATTGTATGAGGTCCAAATAATGATTCAATATTCTCTCCCAGGACATTATTTTTGTAATTTTTCCTATTATTTCATACTTCTAATGTAATTCATCCCTCATAAGCAAATTAAACCTATCTGTGGAGGCAGAGTAAGCATAGTCCTATTGGCAAGGGAGGGTGTGGGGTGATGGGAGAAGACAGAAAATGTCAAGAATAGATTTTCTCAACCTAAAAGTCCCTGTCCTCTGAATCCTTCAAATCAATTTAAACTCACATTTTCCTCTTGTCTCTTTGCCTACTAGCCCCATTCCCTGATTAAAGAAGTAGAATCCAAGTAATCTCAAAGGAAAAGTAGGAAATGTGTTTACATAGTCTCTTTGTCATAGTTGTCAATGACACAGAGAAATGGAGGTAAAATAGCAAAAAATAGGTATAGTATTATTTTCTATAAGAATGTAAAGTGTGGGTGCAGATGTAGCAGTACAATGTGCTAATGTACAAGAAAGATACATTTCACTAATTTTTAGGGACTTTCTGTACTCTATGCTTTTTAGAGCCAAAATCCTAAAAAGTAGAAGCTCTGAATTGTAATCATAAAGTGGAGACTTTTTTTGGTAACCTTACTGCTTTAGTTATTTATCCCTCATTGCTGAGACAAAATACCTGACGTCCAAATTAAGGAAGGAAAGGTTTATTTAGCTCATAGTTTGTGGAGGTTTCAGTCCATACTTGCCTGGCTCTAAGGCAGAGTGGCACATGGCAGGGGCAACATGGCAACAGTTCATGGTGGTGGAAAACAGCAAAAGAAAGAAGAGCAAAAGGAGAGGAGCAAGTGAGCAAGCCGCTTTCCCTCCCTTACACTGTATGCAGGCTACCTGCCCCAGGGTGGGTGTAGCACTCACACCCATAATCCCGGCATTGGACCATGAATCAATCATAAACTGGAGAGGCCTGCACCCATGACTGCATGAGGCTTTGGGGAAACAGCCAGATACAAACCCTAACACACTCTTTTGCAATACAAAGGCGATTTCCAAGATGCTGAGTGCTAGCTAAAGTAACACTATTAGCTCAAGGTCTTTTGCTTAGCTGATACTTGATTTGCAGTTATACATTTTACTGCAAATATATTACTTATGAATATTCAAAACTGACACTGATGAAAGTATATAAACTAAAGAACATAGAAAGTATTCATACTGCCTTGATAGGATATGATGCTATAAAGACTTGCTCCAACAAGACAATTGCAGTTGTCTTTGTAGACTAAGTCTGCCTTGTTATCTGTCAAGTCTTTAAAAAAATCATTTATGCAATAGGGTTTTACCACTTATCTAGCCTACCATCATCACATGACTTTGATAGGTATGTTAGAAGGTTAGATGTTTTGCGCTTTAGTGTTTTTTTTGTTTGTTTGTTTGTTTTCTCGGTACTAGGAATCGAACTCAGGACCTCGCGCTTGCCAGGCAGGTGCTGTGCCGCTGAGTTAAATCTCCAGCCCCTGGGCTTTAGTGTTTTAATAGTAACTTCCTCAAAGAATAGCATCACATTTTTTCCTGTATATATTACTTTCAAATGTGCCTGTTATAACTAAATAAATTTAGTCTATAACAAGCATTTTCTGGGTTTTACTGCTATCTTCTGTAAGCAAGTTTATACAAGAAAAGAGACTACACCTGAGTGGTAGTTGGCAAAATATGTACAAGTTGCAGTTTACAGCCTTTTCATGACCTGAAATGGAAACACATAGAAAACAACTACCTATCAAGTTGAAAAAATATAAGATCTGTGGGAATCAACCAACAAGTAACATGAAAGCTAAAAATCATAGAGAAACAGAAAGGTAATATAGAGCAAAGAAATAATTGGTCTGTAACCTGAAAGTGATTTCACTGACATGGTGAAATAGCTTTTAAAAAGAAATCCATGGCAGCACTTGCCATACCCTAGAGTGGTAAAACCAGGAGCCATTTTCAGAGAGGATTAGTGTTTCAAAGTGAGCTACTCTGAGAATCAGATGTCATACAAAAATCATGCATCAGGGTCCCAGGAGACACTCTGATGCAGAGACTTGGTGGGAGGAAGCTGTAAGAAGCAATCAAAGAGGGGAAGAATTAGTCACAGAAGCTCTGAAAAGTTTAAGTAGCAAGAAACTCATGGTATGGAGGGCAAAATGGTCAGCAGCATCACCCTCTGTGTATTGAGAAATTAGGCTATGACGTGTGAATTTCTGAGGGGGCAAGATATGAAAGTACTGGAGATGGAACTCAGTGGATTCCTTGTTTTCCCTAATTATCCACCTCCAGCAAAAATCTCAGTAGTCTGTTTATTTTCTCCATCAGTAAAAACATGTTCGGGGATTTGCCTTGGCCTGGACCTTTGCCATGTCCCTGAGGGGATTGACAGGAGGCCCTCTGCAGCAACTGTAGCACCTCAGTGATCCACAATGTGCAAAACTAGCTGGGGATTACAGTGGCTCAGAGAGCACAGAAGAACAAATAAACACAAAGACTCTGAACTTAATGGAACCCTGAGATGGACAACATACCATTGACTAGTCTTGCCAGCAGAGAAAGAAGGGACAAGGCTCAGCACTAACAAAACAACAGTCTGTGAAATTGTTATGGAAATCCAACAGGTCCCACTTGCTTCTCACGACAACCCACCCTTACTTAGTGGATTCCAATAATAAAGGTTCTGCAAAGAAAAATTACTCACCAAACCATTTCAGAATGGAAGAAATTTTGTACTCAATTTTTTTCAGACAAGATCTCACTGTATAGTTTGGACTGCC